TTTTTTTTTGCCCGTGTGGGGTGATCCGATCAGCACACAAACCCCACGCCAATAAAAAACAAACAAACAAACACAAAGGAAATTCCACTAAAAATAGTGTGCTACGTGATTGAGCCGTGAATATAAGGTGGGTTTCAAATTTTTTTACGATTTAATCAGCAGGAATAAACATTTATTGGCCCGCAAATTCCAGTATATTATGTTTTTCATTCCCCAACACTCCAAAAAATAAATCTCGAAATTTGCATGGAGAAGTTTTCTTTTCACGGTGGGATGAAAATTCATTTGTTCAACTTGGAAAACTTCTGCACTCGGGATTCTGTGATGAGCCGTGACCCGTGAATAGGGTGGGATTCAAATTTTTACAACATAAAAAACAGGAATCAACATTTATTTCCATCGTAAATGAGAATATGAGATGCACACTGATTTGTCAAACTTGAAATTATTTTGCAATTCACTCTCCTGTGATTTCATTTGCATTTGCATGCATGTGTAATTATCCTCATATCATGTACGTCAATCTCTATAAGCAAACTGCACATCAATAACATCACCCAAACGTCAGTCCACTTTGCTTAAATGAATACAAATCCAGTAAAATCTAATCGAGTCTACATGAGTGGCGGGTTTCTTCACATCCGGTGGGAAAGTTGGGATATTTTGCACTATATACTTGTTATTGAAGGTGCATGGTTAGAAAAATGCCTCAGGATTGCAAAATCCGGGAAGAGTAAATTCTCCAGTATTTTCAGAAATATTAAACCTGTGTTTGGAATGTGGAAAAAAATCACCCAGTATGAGGGATTTTTACTTGTATTTTTCAGAAAATATTTTTCTGGAGAGAAATAAAAATATCAGGCCTTTTTGATGTATTGAGTATTTTTCGAAAATATCCCAACTTTGCTGCAGATTAGGGGTACAAAAAAAAGGTGAATAGGAGTCAAAGTTAACTCACATTGTGCTGATTTGAGGCAGCTCCATCCGTACTCATTCCGCAGCCCATTATGCATGAATAGATAAAATCCTTGAACATATTTAAAAATAATTGTCACTATAATAGCCATATTCTGCGATGACACTTATTTGAAATCAGAACCTCTCTTTGGTATGCAACGGAAATGTTCTGTGTTTTTTTGTAGTACTGCATATTTCTGAAATTTTTAGCCTCTTCTGTCAAACGAAGCTAGGAAAAAAAGTCCGACCTTCCAATACACGGTTGGCCAGAAGAAGTGAATCAATTTTTTTTATTTGAAATAGATTGGTAGCAAATTGAGATGTGGCAATGAAAAATCACCAAATGAAAGCTTGTTCAATTCTCTCTCAAATGGTAGTTTAGTTTTATGGTTCTGTTAGGGATGAAATGCTCCTAAAAAAGATATGAGATTAGGGTTTAAAGTAAAACATACCTATCAGCCTAGGACTGGCTGATGGGAGCCTCTGTACTTTTGAGGCTCCAAGAAATTGAGATTTATCAATGTCCCAATACAACAATATTCCATGCAGATAACTTTTCAACTCACATACAAATGATTTCATACAACACAAATATGAGTTCAGACACGGTTTTTGATGGTATTCAATGCCCAGTTTTTAGGTATAAATCAGCTTCAGAGATGGCAGTGGAATGCATTCCTTGCTACATGTTTTGGGAGAAAGAAGAAAAAAAGGCAAGAGGTTTTCTTTGTGGGCTAGATCTTGGTCTCTGATCAGCTGATTTTTTTGGAATCAAAGACCAAGCTGTGCATTGTTGTACAATTCTTTTGGGATTTGTTCTTTGGTGCTGGGCTTCCACCAAAGGACCAGGTTTTGGGATGCAGCAGGGATTGTTATATTTTATTTCATTCCCACTGTGAGCTGCAGTCCCCAGCAAAAGTAGGGTAACTATTTGCATTTGACATAGCTTGTGAGTTCATAGCTATTTGTGAAGATGACCAACTCTTGTCCAGAAGGTTCCAGTTCAAAATCCAGGAGCATCATCAGGACAACAGATTCAAACAAAGGAACCTTCCATAGCAAAGCATATTATGAACAAAAGCATACAGATACAGTAAAGCAGAGACAGAAACAATACAGCACAAAGAAGGCAAAAGAAGAAAGTAAACAGCAGCAGATGAATGGGAAATTTCTTTTTTTTTCTTGCTGTCAGACATCAGAACAATGCCATTGGAGTTTGCTTGGGAATGGCATAATGGCAATGGCAATTCAATGGCAGGCAATATATTTCCTTTTTAATTGGCATTGCTGTGAAACATTAGCTATTCAATCCTAGCGCATCGTCAATGGCCCTTCTAATGCTAGGGCATTGGAAGGCAACCAAAATGATATTTCCTCAATGTTTCAGGGCCAATGCCATGCCAATGCCTTGGCAATGCAATTTACAATGCCAGAATTATTTGCTGGGTTGTGACCATTCTGTGGTACTTGTAGTATAAAAGCACCACACCATTTGCAAGAGAATTGAACAAGCTTACATTTGATTATTTTTTCATTTCCACAACTCAAATTGCTACTACGCTATTCAACTCAAAGTTATACTATTTTTTGGCCCACCCTGCATGCAAAATCTAATGCAAACAAATTTCAGGCATAGACTGATGCTAATCTTTATTTTGGAATTCAACAGTGCTAAAAGTTGTGTAGAGCAGTGTTCTCAAATTTTGGTACTGAGGTCAAATTGAGAGTCAACTTCCCAGCAATTTTGAACATCGAATTGCAGGATGGATGAATTGCAGGAGGACTGATGAATTATGGCAGGTTGAAGTGAGAGGTACCACCTATACAAGGAAAAGTTATCTTGAGGGAAATACAGTGGCATTTGCTGGAATATGTGTCTGCTGGTGGTAAATCAACAAAGGATTTTGTGAAGTTCAAAAACGAGTTCAAAATGAATCAGATACTTCAATGAGCCATTATGTGGCCAGGTACCTCATAAACAAGGCCCTTTGAATCTATGCTCAATATACAAAAAGTAGATAGAACAAAGATAACACAGTGCAGCTGGGCAACA